ATGTTATTGTAGTTTTATAGTGATCGTTTGAAGATATCCTGACCAATAGGGAACTCACCATTTTTGTGGCAGCAATGGCTTGCCATCATTCACGGGCATCGGGGAATCTATACAAAAGAGAAGAGAATACCCAACAAGTAAGAAATTATCTAGCCACGAGAACAATTAAGATGTTTTCCAACTTTTAAATTGTTTTATTCCGTTTTTATGGCTTGGGTGAAATATGAGGCGGTAACAAAATGGATGAAATACAAGGTGATATGATAGAGGGCCCGTTGTGAATTCAGCTAAATTTCAATTTCTAGAAAAACCAGAGACGGATACTAGCTTCAGATGTTTGCTTTTTTTCATTTGGCTGAAACAATTCACCAAACCGTTGGGCCAATCCAGTCCTATACAACTCTAAAAACTCCTTTTTAAAAGAGAAGTGCTCTGAAAATTTACAAAGAATCCATCCAATTGATCGCCTCGTTTAGATGACGTCGTTATAATTCCGTTTCTGCGATGGATATGATGAAGTTTGAAACAGGATATCAATGTCCACGCTTTATAAGAGCCCATGATCTCTTGAACTGCTTTTTAAGTGTTTGTTTCTTGATAGAAGTCTTAAAGATAAAAGTCGGTTCCATCGCCGGTGTATTAAATGCAAGATGTTAACTCAACAGTAGAATAAAAAACTGGTTTCAACGGTTCTCCGTTGATATTAGTAATGACTTACCCTATGCCATAACTACTTATGGTAATGAGTTATGACAAAGAAAGAGATCCTGACATCCAATTCCGCTGAAAGAAAGTGAGTAAACCTGATGAACATGTTGATTAATCAACGCTGGGAGGATATGACGGAAGGGGATGCAGGTGTCAGTTGCACTGCCTAAACTTCTCTGAGGGCGTGGGTCCATATATCCAGGGGATATTCCGCTTATTTTACTCGACGGTATGTAGGAGGGTATTCAATTAACACTTAACACATAGGAAAATGGCTATGCCTCTATACTATCTTTTTCCCATGCAAGCACGTATTTATGGACCGGAATAAATAAGTCTAACCTGTACATTTCGCTCCCACGGGTGGCTATTGTCAGAGATGACTTGAAAATCCGGGTAGATGTCATAATTAAATTCAAGATCAATCAAGCAAAATATATAGTCACTTTCTCTTTTATCTTTAAAAGAGTATATTTTGATGACATAAGCTTTAAAATGGCATAGAACAGTGACCAACTATTGCTTTAGTTTCTAGAGGGGCAATAAATCCTGACTTAAATGGAGCCAGTCAAATCTTACCTACTTGATAATAGCTGCAGTAATTTTTGGGAGATAATTTTTCGACAGCCAGGCGAGAACTTTCTCTAGACCTGATCCTTCGTTCCCTCAGGGTCACTGTCATTGTTATTTTTGTTTTCTCTTTTTTTTATTTAAGATTTTAATTGTGATTCAGTCTCTTTTACTCTTGACTTTCACCAAAGGACACTCTTTGGAGACAATTTTCATCCACGTATTCTTAACTAATGTTCACGTGATGCACCTGTGCTTTGTACCCATGATAAATTGGTTGCAAGTTAATTATGCCGTTGCTATTTTGATAACACAAAGCCGAACTTCATTCTTGATGGAGCTCCCTGCTAAAGTAAGTATGAATACCGACTTAACACTTATCCTGTTTTAAGTGGAATTTTGAACGAAATTCGGAGATTGAAAAAGAACCATACATTATCCAATTCGTCCTCTTTTCGGGATGTCTAAGCGGGTGGAAAGATGTAAAACAAAAAACGAACGGAAGTGATATAAATTTCAATGTGTTTTTGGTAAATAGCCTTTGCAAGCAATCAAGGAAAAAGCGGGCTTAAGCCAAAAAAAAAAAAAAAGCTGCTAAGTTCAGTCAAGGTGAAAGTGATGCGCTGGACAATAAGAAGTTTTACCAAACTTCCTATCTTTGGTCACGTACAGGATTTCTATTTGGTTTTGCTCGCAGGGGAACACACGATATTAAGCAGCAGATGTTTTTGAGTGTAAAAAGCATTGTTTAATGTACTGATCGCCGTGTGTGTTCACTTTTTCGTCGCCACCTCAATTAGCTCTGACTTGAATTAAACTGATGTCAGATCTTATTACGCTGCAAAAGTTTTAATATCCATTTTCTATTTATTATTTGTACTTTTTTGCCCCTTAGTTAGATTTCGGTAAGATTCAAATGCCAGTCTGGGGTTTTCCTTTCATTGATTTATGGCTTTCTGAGGCTGACGTCTTCCAAATGTTTGAAAGCAGTTTAATTTTGATATTGGCGCAGGAAAATAATGAATCAACTTAATGAGGAAAAAGAAAACGTTTGGATTTCCCTATGAAAATCAGGTAATGAAAACGCTTTCCAAGTCACTTAAGTGAACAATGAATGAAACGAGGGACTGAGCGAGAAAACTGTAAAGAAAAGACACAAATCTTGGCAGTTTTCTTTTGCCTTTAATCTAAACAAAAGGCGTAGCCTATCGGAACATAGGACATTTTGTAGGTCAAGTACACTGAGCGTCATATTCTGTATGCGATCTTTAAGGTTTTTTTTTACCGTGAATCATTGTTTTCAAAATTTAATTTTTCTCTGCTACGAGACTAATTATGTGAGGGATGGTGAATTCAATCACTACTGGGAAGACTTTGTAAATAAGCGGACATTTTAGATTGAAAGTCATTGACAGGTCTTCATTTTATTAGTTTGCTTCATGTTCGCGATTAGTTTCAATCAAAGTCTATGACATTGCCTGGTAACGGTGAACTATGTTTATCTCGGTTTATTTTACAATAATTGTTTTCAAAAGTCACTTACCACAACCGAAAACAGTTCTTCCGAGGAGTATATCCTCAGTTGGACGATAGATTGCACGATTAAATTGCTTGATTTCCATTTCTCAACTTTGTTATTTCCGTTGAATTTTGGTACGTGTCTTCACAAATACACCAAATACTTTTTCAAGCGTTAAATGCGGTGAGTCAAAATAGCATCTTGGCTTCAAAAAACATCAAAATAACAGTCATCTTTCAGCTTACAATGAGAATAATGTGTTGGACGAAGCCTTAATTAGTTGGGGAACGTTTTGTAGAGACTTCATATATCTCACCATTAACCTCACCTCACCAAGACCCCTCTTGGGGTAGCAGATGGTACTTTGTGTAACAGTGAATTTCATGAACGTTGTGTTTGTTCAGTTGTTTGTAACCGAACGTGTCTTCGGCATTGGTTACCTCCGTATTGTCGAGTATTTGTTATATATATACATATATATATTTTTTTATTCATATTACGTTTTCTTCACGGAAGTTATCTTTCAATATTCTCGATTTAAATTGAAACCGAGAGGCGCAAAGGAAATTTGTCTCAAACATTCACCTGAGTAATAAAAAAACAAAACAAAACAAAGTAAAACAAAGACAAAAAACAGAAAAGAAAATGTGCGTTTCCATTTTCCAACTTCTACGTAAGTAAACTGAAATTAGCTAAAAAGTCATAACCTTTATTTGTAAGTTATATTATTATGGTAATACATGCGTTTCAAATGAATTTTTGACTAATTTTTGACATACTGCTCGTCAAGATTTTCACTAAGACAAAATCAGTGATTCAAATGAATTTTATCTATTCACGGTATTGACAGGTTACAATACTTTTTGAAAAAGGATATACATTTATAACAAAAAAGTGTATGAGGTTGTAAAGCCTTGTGCATCTTTTTTAATACAAGTGTATCCTACTTAGTTATTTGTTTAAGATTTTAAGCATTTTATAATTTTTTAACCTATACATACTTGAAGAAGGCCGTAGGCTGTAACGTGGACCTTTTTGTTTTTGTTTTTGTTTTTTTGTTTTTTTTATTAAAAAAGGTGTTGACAGAATTGTATAGACAAATGAGAAGCACAGTAGCTGGCGTCAAAATTTCCAAACTTTTGTTTTACCATCACATAGTAAAATATAAAATATACGTGCATCGTCCATAATCTTGTATATATATATATATATATATATAACATTTAGACTGCAAAGTTTTTGAAAACGGAAGTTTATAAATTCCCGGTATAAATTTTTATTTAGGGTTGTTTGACTTCCCTCGCACAAGAAGTATGACATCACGAAAGCTGTGAATCGGTTTATTGCTTTATATTTTAAAACAATAAAACTCCATCTACGAGATTTAGAGCTATCAAAATCTCAAACAAACAAAAAAAAGGACAGCCTATAAAAATTTTCTTATTTTCAGCCAGACTCACGAAAGATGTAACAGGAAGAAAAGAAAAATAGCTAGCGATTGCAGAAAATAAAAAAAAAAAACTCTACTTATTTAAAGATACTATTATTCTTTTTCCATTCTGTCACTCCTCGGCCCAAAATGCTTTTTTATCATGTTTTTAACTTGTTTATCATTATCATTATTTACGTCCATTTTCTAGACCTTTATGGACCTTTGGAGTCCTGTTATCGTCGTTGGTTATTTAATCTAAGAAAAATCTCTACATAAAGGTGGTCTAGACATTGTTTTTGACTACTAAAGAATTTACAAGTGAGCATGTGTTAATTTACGCCAAACAGCAGGTAGTAAAAGTGAAATTTCTTGCGTTCGGAAACTCAGGTTCAAACGATGAAAAAAATACAAAAAAAGATCTATATTGCTCAAGGTCAGGGTTAAGATTTTCCAATTGTTTTTCTTTTACAATATCATTAAAAAAATTGGAAGAAAGATGGGCGTAAAATCAAACTACATTTTTCTTGTATGTCCTTGACGTAATATGCTCTACTTCAATCCAAAACTCCATTAGTTAAATAAAGATTGAAAAAAAAAGAAAGAAAAAAATTACTTTTTAGGTTTAAAGCATTTAGCCACAATATAATGGCGACAGTTTGACGGTCATGAAACCATTTTAATGCAGATGTCATGAGTTCATTACAACAGTGGTTGAAGCTTGATTAAACTTTAAACGAGTAGTCGCGCAAGATATTGAAATAACTTGATGTCGGTATCGATCATAATCTGACTTCAACATTGCCTTTATAAATGAGAGCGGTCGCTAAAACGGGAACACAAAATTGCTAACTACGTTTAGGTTCAGGCGTGAGATGAGTTCGGCATTATAAGGAGTAGCACGCCAGAATTGGTGGGTAACATTTTTTCCGGTTAGAAATTTCTGTCATGACAAGGAGTCAATGCAGAACATATGTTAACTCAATCGAACATGCAAAGTTATTGGATTCCTGTTCATTTCTCACCAAAGAAATATTTACATTGTTTTTTTTTTCTAGCCTCTATATTTGGGCTTATATGAAAAGCTGGTTTATCAAATACCACCGACGTGTTTTTCAGTTGAAATGATCTTTGGAACAGCTCTTGACATAGGAGAGAAATTATTTTAACATGAAATAGGCTTAGTACGTGTATTTTAACTGCAACTTTCCTCGCAATCGCTGAGCTGCTAAGTAGAACTTGTTGGCTACATATGTTTATATAGTGCATATATCTCTATTTGCACAATCAATATTTACTCCCTGTTACAACCTCGAATGAAATATATCTTCATTACGGTCCCACAACAACCCTTTACATGAAGGAGAAAATGACAAGAAAATAATGAAGGAAATATTTTGCTCTTATTAAGACACACACTCAAAGTCAGGTTAGAAGTATTTTTCAGAGACTTCATTTGACACGTTTACGGCCCCCGTTTTATTAAGTAGTATCTCCTTCTTTCGTCGACAAGTTGCCATCAGCGGTGATCAGGCTTTGTCAGTGAGTTTTGTATCTGAGTAAAATATGCATAATTTGACTTGTTGGATGAATAAGACATTGGATGAATTACTGAAGTCATAGACTAATACTTCTACACATTAGGGGTCAGACAGTATGTCGTCTTCTTTTATCAGTAAGAAATCAATTAGTTCCAACTTTAAAAGAGACTTAAAGAACTTATAGTCATGAACAGTCAATTTGTTCACAGGAGCCGGCTTATTCAAAACGCGTATAGGTTAATCAGTATGTGTCAAGTAACATGACGATTATTATGTGCTAACATTTGATTTTTTCCTCAGTTTTGCCCTTCTTGAGATAAATTAAACGCCCACAGAACTAAAAGGTCGACATAGTTTTTCCTCGGGAAAGTCTGAGAAGATCCAAACGTATTATGATTCTGATCGTTTTTTGAACAAATGGCCCATGTCGGGTAACTTTGAAAGGTTGTAAAGAGAATCATAAGCTATCAACGGCCGTCCCTCATAGCATGGGAAACCTAAAAAAAAAAATTACTCACTGATGGTAGTAAAATACAAAATAGTAAAAAACCAGTAGGAACAAAATATGGTAAAAAATGAGGACAACTGAAAGCACTGAAAAAAACCAAAACAAAAAATTTAGGCAACATTCAAGATGTGAGATCCGTGAATCCACACCTTTATGCAAATGTCTCTTGCCTGTTTTCAGTGTTCATGAATATTTCATTTTCAATTTGTTTGATAGAAATGAGGGATTATTTTGACTAAAAGTGGATGCTTTACTCTGAGTTACTGCAAGGTTTCATTTTGGTTTGATGATAATGGCCAAACAGTCGATTGTTTTGACTAACGATTGATAACTATCGGAGTTAACAGTCACAACTGCGTAAAGACTGTTCTCTCTACCCATATGATATTTCTTTTTATAACCTGTTTTAAACACGTCTGATCCTGTTCCCCTACTGCTATCATGCGGCATTTATAAGAACATGTATTCTTATCGAAAACAAAATATGAGGTTTTCATAAATTTTCCAATGGTTTTATCCCAAAACAGGCTTCAGTAGCCCATAGCTTGATTAAGAGATGAAAACCCATAGTCCTACTTTGCTACGCTAAATTTTCCCTTAATCTGAATGTGCTTTTGAAATACCCCCGGCCTGGTGAGTGACGTGCAAAATGCATTATTTGAGTTGAATTTCAAATCAGTTTTACCAGCTCTTGGAATGGGGCGCAATGGATTTGAAAACAAAACTAAGCGTAGCTAGTCGTCACATTTGCTGTATAACTGATGGTACTTCAGTAATTGATTGTAGAGGCTTCATTTAGGCCTGAAAATGGTGCAAAAATGCTTCATGTGTCGGTCTCTAACATTTTCCCTCGATATTTTAGAGAGCAAAAATAACATCTACTGAGATGACATTTCCACATTCAATAATGAAGTCAGTCTCAAAAACACTTTGCCTAAATATAAAACTTCAATGCTGCCTTGTTCGTGCACCTAGTCACCTTCACTGGAGTTGCATTCTTAAACGTTGGTGATTTTGATGAATGCCACACAGTCCATGCAGCTTTTCTTACATATCAGATCTAAGAGACTCCTTGAGTCACACAAGGCGTCGTTGTTTTTCTTTATAATGGTCCGTCTTGAATGATCCTGCGTTAATTTGGATCTTTCTGATGTTATTTTCTTGTTCACTTTAAGTAGCCTTTCATTAGTACTGTAAATCTAAGGCTTCCAATTTATCACCGTCTATCCAGAGGTTAAACCAACTCAGTGTTTGTTTTCTTATTTGTTTGTCTTTGCAGTATGATGTATGAATCACAGCACCTGTAGTCGTTGCCAAACGTCATGAATTCTTACATAATTCTGTGCATAACTCGTGATATTACGACAAAATGAAAAGGTAGAGTGATTCGCCTGGTTTCTTCCATTGACAGGAACAGGTATGTGCCACTGTCGAAGGTATGGATGGTTTTTAACCATCTTGGTCTGTCTTAGATAAGGTCTAAAAACCCACGATGATATATCCTCTCGGTTATGCACTCGACTGGTTGTCGTGTCCCACGTTTCAGTAAACGATCGCGCGCAGGTTAAGATATGATATTTCTCATTAAATTGTGAGCAGTTGTTAATCATACTACAACCACACTACATCGTTTAATTATGTCAATGAGAGAAAAGGCCTTCATTGATTCCTCTTTAAAAGCTTTTTTCTAGCAAATAGAATGTTTATTGTTTAGTTTTACGACGCGCATCCTTGTAGATAATCAACATATTGGGAAAAATTTATCGGAGTAGATTCGTGAATCGAGAATTTCTCTATTTGACAAGTCTTTAGTATTTTGTTTGCTTTGGAACATTAAAAACAAGAGCTTGTCGTATTTTACTGTTGTAGAACAGTTGTCAAAGAACTTGATCGTGTAAATATGTCGTTTTTTCTACGAGCTGTCATCATTTATTTACACTAAAATAGCAAAATTAAATTTTCTTCTAATTCTTTTGCAGTCAAATTTCCGAAGTGTCCCTCAGCACAAACTTATGGGAAAATGGCTCATCTACGATTTATTTAAGAGTGCACCAAAGAGCTGAAAGCAATTAGATAAGGTAAGAAGGACATATAAAACAAAGGTGACAAAAACAATGTTTTTTTTTTTTGTTTTTTTTTTTTTAGTTTTCACACCCTTAGAATTAAAATTTGAATATTAGCTGGTGGCAGAGGGAAAAAAAAAGGAAATAAAAAAAAGAAAAAAAAACGTCGAGCTGATGATTTTGGAAATGGCTTTAATTTTCGTGATGAACTTTCTGACATTTTTCCATTTTTTATCGCATTATTAAAGGTTTTAATCTCTTGGTTAACGTTAGAATTTCCTGAAGTATCAAATGAGTTTATTATTAAAAGTTATTAAAAGAGAGGTTCGCTTTTCTATCATTTGATTTTAAAATACTTTTTATCCTCCTTTAAATTCTAAATGAGAAAATATCAGTTGCTGTTGAAGATTTACGTGTCAATGTGATAACTGACCCTACATGTAATTAAGTCCCAGGTGCAAAAATATTTGGCCTTAAATGCGATAAACTGAAATAACATCACGCGACAAGTGAAAACTTTGACCAATGGGGTTGACTGTTAGCCGTTGAGCAGACAGGAAGTTTAGCTGTTGGGCGTAAACATTGACAAATTTGAACCATTAGTCGCAGAAAATGTTACTTGTAATTTTTTTTTTCTTTTTTTAATCTTCATGTATAATTTGGGGTTAACCGTGAACACCCTCACCCCATTAAGACGTTCTTTGGATGGCTGTAGTAGGAAAAATCATTACGCTGCAACATACCCATTAATTGAAAGTGCAGATTTTTTTCTTTAATTGTAAAATTCTCAGTTTTCTAATCTACATGTGTCTTCGTTGATTCCATGTCTCTCCGTTGGAATTTGTTTTTCCTTTTTCATTTTTACTTATTTCGGAGAAAATATACTTAATCTTATTAAAAAATTTTTAAAAACTTTCATTTTCCATTTCGAGTCGAAAAATTTAGCGCAATGGTACACAGTGGCATGCTTTGGCTCTTCAAACGAAGATAATTGTAGGAGACGTAAAAGCGAAAGGTTCATCAGCCTGCAGTGCACGCGTAATTTTGGCGAGCGAGTGCTCAGTGTTTACTAAGCGAAATTATGACCATCATCTTTGATTTTTATGGAAGCGATAGGCTGAGGAGGGAACGAAATTGGCACTAAGGGGGTGAGTGACACCCCACCCTATCCCCCACCGTCAACTCTGACTCCAAATCAAACATGGCCGGTTGAGCTTCTAAACGTTATCTCGCCTTAATAAGACACCTGCACTACAGGCTAAGGGTTCATTGATCTATGAACTTATTATCAGAGTTAGTTAACGTCAAGTTTCAATTAGTCTCGTGATTTATATCCTCCATTAGTCACGTCGGTGTTATCATCCGCTGATCACGTATGTGACATTGGGTCTATTCAACGACGTTACAGATTTCGTGAAAGATTACGTGCTTCATGTCGTTACTAGTGTGAAAGTTTAAAACGCAGTTTTTGTGTACGTAATTACGTCATGAAAGAGGGAGGTCGCAGTTATTGAGCCGGGGGTCTCTCCTGAAAATTAGTGCAAACATATAAATGAATGTTTATTCAGCCTAAATGCACACCGTTTCCAAGTTCCTCCCATGTGGCGGCTAAGTCCACAAACCTTAAGTAAAGCTTCTTCGACTTCTGCACAGTTTCTTTTCTACATGTAATCTAAATGACGTTTTTCGGCTTTGAGCCATATACTTACAGCATCCAAAATGCCAAGATGACCCTCCAGGTAGGCCCCTAATTCTTCCAAAAGATCAGCTACGTGGCCATCATTGAATGTAAGTTAAAATGAAATTTTGTAAGCCTTAACACTGAAATAGCTCGAAAAGTTACAACAAAAATACCGTTCTACTGAATCACTGCAATGAGGCTTTCTTACCTATCGCAATTGCTCTTGATCTGACATTTTCCTAAATTGAAGAGTCTAGCGCGCGTACGTTCTTTGAAGACGCAAATGGTTTGAACTCGAGGTGTGAACTACGAGATCTGGACACGACTTCATTTACTTATTCATTCGATAGTGAATTTGCAAATGGCCGCGGCCTAGTACGTTTCCGTGAATAACTTGGGTAGAGCAAGTGGGAAAGTTAAGACCTTTTCCAAGAGTCTGAGACAGGGAATTCGAAAGCTGTTGAACTGGTGAAAGGTTCAAACTTTGAGAAAGGTCCTTCTGTTATTCAACACTTATGCAAGCAAAGAATTTTGATATTTTTTCGCAAAAAGTACCGGATTAACTAATTCAAACTGGGAGAAACTTGACTGAGTTGATCGGTTTGTGTGGGAGGCTCTTCTATTCAACACTTATGCCGGTAAAAAAATGTTTATATTTATGGGCTAAAAATACTGGCTGAAGTTATTCTTTACTGGGAGAAACACTTACATGTTGGTCATGACTTCAAACACATGTGGTGGCTTCTTAAGGAGCCGTTTTGTTTTAGCTCCGAAAAGAGCTGTTTTTTTATTGAGTACTTCGATTTTTCTTCAATTACTTTCTGTTGTGGCTACTTCTGATCCTGCAAAATAAAATAATGAAATTCAGTCGGGCCAACAAATTAAAAGTATCATAGTTCTCAATATGTACAATTATTGCACAGAATTATTTTTTAATGCTGTGCAATGCTTTGAAATGTCCTGTAAGATATTTATTGCCTGACATTGCCTTTATCCGTCTTCGTGATTGTTGATGTATGTGGCTATGCTACCTTGGTCATCCTCCAACTTTTTAACGTATGATCTTTTGTTTCGGTGCAGGTTGCATACTCTTGCAAAAACTTTCTATTTTCTTTCTCCATGACCTGTACTGTGTGCTTGGAGTTCCTGCCACCCTTTTCTGTACCACGATGAAACCCGTGACTACCCATTGTTTTTGTTTTTTTTTTTTTCGACGGGCTGGCAATTTACTTTAAAAATACAGCCACATTTTTCAAGAAACTGGGGTACATGGTACACAAGAGCTACAAAAAATGATAAAAGAACGATAATGATTATCATTATTCTTAAAGTTATTAATATCATTGTAATCCAGTTTTTTAAGATTGGTTTACAAGATTATTGACCTACCATGTATGTAGGGAGTTATGTCCTCGTCATCGCCCATTTTCGTGCCCTCTCTTGAAATTACTGAGGAGGTAGATATTGTTCCTCTCTTATTTGCGCTTCTAGAGCTGAAAATAGCTCAGAAAAACCCTGGAATTGAAAGTAACCTTTTCAGTTTTTTCTACTCTTCTTTAGTTACAAAATGATATTTTCACTTTTAGCAAATTAGAAGTATACTATCTGTTCAAAACCTATTTTTGCACATTGTAAGATATCAAAAACTACAATACCTTCCACAGCTTTTTCACGTCTTGTAGGTGGCCATCCCCTGATTTTGGAAGCCATCAAAGATTGCCTTCAGCTCCAAATTTTCCAGTATGTTGTGCAGATCTTTACCTAAGCCAAATTTTCCATTATATTGTGCAGATCTTTACCTAAGCCAAATTTTCCATTATGTTGTGCAGATCTTTACCTAAGCCAAATTTTCCATTATGTTGTGCAGATCTTTACCTAAGCCAAATTTTCCATTATGTTGTGCAGATCTTTACCTGAGCCAAATTTTCCAGTATGTTGTGCAGATCTTTACCTAAGCCAAAATTTAAAATGCACATTAGATTCATATTTGCTCCTGCAACTTCTAGTTGCTTGCAAGCAAATCTGATTCTCTGAGGAATCTGCAGTCAAAGAGAAAGTTTCAGCATTGTATAAATAGGTATCAATTAGATGTCGGTTTGTGTAAACACAAAAAAATTGTGGAAGGAGATTATTCAGTTTTTCTTGCTTACGAAGCTCGAAATTCAAATATACTCGGATTGAACAGTCGAGTCGAATGGGAGAAATTGACGAGCGTGTGCGACTATTTCCACTTGCCATTGTTTTTTTTAACTCCTTTCGTTGAATTGAAACACGGAAAGAGAATGATACCCGTAAAACTACACGAATTAACAAAGCGCGAGGCTTGGGACGTTATTACCAGGTTTAAATCACACGCTAGAGGAAGGAGAATATGAACCTTTTTGTGCACATCAGGAACAAAATCTCATTCACGCAGCGCGAAATTTAAATACACGCACATTAAACAATCGAGCAAATGACGATAGTCTTCTGCATGATTCAACGGCGTGGTAGGCTTCGGACGTTAATACCAGGTTACACATGCTCTCATTACCTTTGCATCGCACAGTGAGCCTCTAATTGAATATATCTTTCGCCAGTTTTAAGCAATATAAAGGAAAAAACAGTGACTCTTCAGATACGAAAGCTACAGCCGCCCCACCATCCACCCCACCGTGACTATTTGCATCCTAAAAAATCTACCAGAATCACCCCCACGGGGAGGATTTGTCTTATCATCAGTTTTGCCGATGGTTTAAATCTGCCGCTAGTATAATTATCGGAAATTTTGAAAAATCCCGCGTGTATTTTAAAGCTGTTTCCGCCAATGTTCCTAAGTAGCCACACACGGTCATTGTTAATCGTTAAACAAAGCCTGCTTAACTTTAAGCTGATCCGCTTTTCTTGATACGCATCACTTATCTGGTTGATATTTCAGTGATACTATAAGGATAAATTCTCTTTTGGTCACTCATGGGAGTTAAGCATTGTAGATTACAATTCTCTAAATTGTTAAAACCAATCAAGCTTCTAAAGGTATGTGGTGATATAAAGCGGGCAGACCTATGAGCTAAATTGTCATCTTTCCAGAAGGTAATTATTTGCATCATCAAAAGTCGAGCTGAAACGCGCATTAAACACTGAAGAACTAATAACGATAACAAGGAACGTTAATTCCACAGATTATCCTGCAAATAAAAGGATAATTCGAATTAATAGCAACAAAGGGAACAGCTACAGGAAATCTAACTTTATTTACGTGTTCATGAAATATATAATGCACGGAATGATGGAAATTTGTTTGGAAAAACACTCGCGGGCAATGAAATAAAATTTAATTAACTGGCGAGTTGTTACGTTCAACAGAGGATATTTGATGAAACTTTGTTTCGGGTTAATACGTACGGATACTATTGGGTTACGTACACAAGATACTGGAAGACTTGAGAAAGAAAAATAATCAAGTTGTGTGGTTGCCTTTTCAAAAAGAGTTGCTAGAATGGGGTCGCACATATTTGTGATTTTAGGGGTAAGAAAATTCCGGTAAGAACAACATGTAGGGATTTCAAGATTTAAAAATTTGCGTTTAAAGAGTTGTTATGTACCGTGTTACCAAGTGACTAAGATGAGGGTTGTACTTGGCCTCCAAATAGGCTATTGTGGAATAGGGGCTCTGAGAGGCCAGCGGTACAAACCCTAAAAAATTGACTCATTTCCCCCTTTGAGTGCTTATTTCGCTTGCTCTGACTTCAAATCCAAATTAATTAATGGCACACCTAAATTTTTTGTAGCCATTCGATACTTTAGGGGAAAGTATGTTCTGAAAATCAGAGTCCATATGGCTCATCAAGGAGGTCACTGTACCGACTAAATTCGAGGCCGTTTTTAAGGTATGCTGCAATAATAGCATAGCATAAATCCTCCCTTCCTGCCGGTCAAAATCTGTTGACCTTTATGTTTGCTTTGGTCTTCTTCATCAGGCGCCGAGTATGAACGCCTCTTCAACTGCTGTGAATTCATCAATGTCTGCAAACGGTAAGAGACAAAGCACAGGTCCAACTCAAACACCTGCCCTTTAGTTTTTCAATTAAAAGGAGGGCGTCCCCCGCCTTCAAGCCAGTCTTGCCATTTCAAACCCTGAAACCCGTGTAGTGTTACGTCAAAGCTCGTAGCCTAAGGATTGGCCTAATTAGAGTATGTTACTGACACCAGTGGGTTCAACACTCAGGTGTGAAGAGGGTTGGTTCTGAACAAATGGATCATTTGGGTTGTTTGCAATCATAGGACGTTATTAGAGACATTTAGCACCAGGGTTTTCGCATTAACGGCAAACCTGAAATGGAACTTTCAGGTTAGGCGTTTGGTGTTCGACGTTTATGGCTCCTACTGCTTTAGCTACATCTCTCCAACCTCAAGCAAATTTACGTAGAAAAAAAGTGAATTATGAGAAGTTCCAGAAAATGGCGGCTGCTGCAAGGTTAGTTTTTCTAAGCTGATGCGTTTTCAGGATTTTTTGGAGTTCTCAAACGATCATTTATCTGCAAAAAAGAAATAAATTTTTTATTTTCCATTTCTAAGGTATGATTTTGAGGACATCCTTACTGTAGCTCTGGCCTTTGACATTAGTTCTTCAGATGATTTGTGCGATGAAGTATTCTATCCATCTTTTCTCGACATCCTCTCCCTCTACTTGTTTATCATCAGTAGAAAAAGCTTTGCTGAGTATTTTAGCTACTTCGTCCCACTCTTGGGGCTTTTCAGGGAAATACTTTGCCACCTCCTATGCAAGGGCTAGCTCGTGCTTTATTTCTGACTATTGGAATAGAGCCATGATACCCTGGAATTATAACATTTTAAGCTTTCTCAGATACCATCTACTGCTGCTTGAATGATAAACCTTAAAGGTGAGAAAATCCTGAGTTATGAGTTCGCAGAAGGCCACTAGCAACCGAAAAAACATGAAATTGAAGAGGCCGCCATATTGAATTTCCAGAAAACAGCAGTGTTTGATTTTCAAATTGTAACGAGAGCACACTCGGAGATCACGTGCACCTCAGGTGACACATGATACAGCGGTCGATGTTATCTAATCGCAAAAGGTTTTAGATCACATATATCTACATGAGAGCGCACTTAGTTTACAAATAAAGACTGTTCGTTACCTAGAAATCGTGTGTTTATGGTAGAACGAAACATGGTACCAGGAGTGTAGCCTCTTCGACACGATGACAACTACACCACCTCAAGGTTCAGCGAGTGTTCAAGCGCCGACGCCATGTTATGGAATACAAAGCAATTTACCAATTCCGTCGCGATTGAATTTGGCAGGAAATATTTCAGAAAACTGGAAGAAGTGGAAGCAAGTGTGGGATTCGTTCGAAATCGCCTCACGTCTTAACCAGCAAGAAGATAAATACCGTGTAGCTACTTTCATTACCTGCATTGGAACCGAAGCCCTCGAAGTCTACAATGGTCTTCCGTTCGAAAAAGAAGAAGACAAGAACGTAATGAATACAGTTCTGGAGTTGATGGAGAGGCATTGCATTGGCCAAACAAATGTCATTTACGAGCGATACTGCTTCAATAATAGAAAACAAGAAAGCGGCGAATCATTTGACACGTATCTCACAGCGCTCAAAACTCTCGCGAAAACGTGCATTTTTGGTCCACTCACCGACGAATTAATTCGTGATAGGATCGTCTGTGGAATTTGTGACACGGGAACTAGGAAGAAATTACTACAAGAGCCCAAATTAAATCTTCAGAAGTGTATCGATGTATGCCGATCAGCCGAAACAACTGCATCGCAAATGAAAGTCATGAGTGGAAGAGAAGAAGTCAACGCACTCAACCACAAAGAGAAAAAAGACGGCAGAGACGCCAGTCCTAAGTTAGTTAATTGCAAATACTGCGGCAGAAAACACGAGAGATCAAGAGATAAATGCCCAGCGTTCGGAAAAGAATGTGCGAAATGCGGCAAAACAAATCACTTCGCCAAGCTATGTAAACAGAAACTTGGTGGGCGACAACGAAGAAAAGAACGGATTCACCGAGTGCGAGACGCAAAAACTTCGCAGGATTCGAGCGATGAAGAGTACTGCTTCACGATTTCATCCGAAAATCTGGAAGAACAAAGTGTCAAAAGTGTCAGTAGTCAACCCATCAAATCGAAAATCTTCGCAACAATGGAGATCAAAGGTCATCCCGTTCGTTTTCAAGTCGACAGTGGCGCCACCTGTAATGTGATAAGCAAAAACGATTTACCGAACGAGTGCCCGATCGCGCATTCGAAACAAGTCCTCAGCATGTTTAACGGATCGAAAATGGAAACCATTGGTAAATGTCGTGTTAATCTGGTAAATCCCAAGGTTGATGAAGAATGCGAAACAGAGTTTGTTGTTGTCAATAACGACTGCACGCCACTGTTGGGTTCCAAAACGGTGCAGAAAATGAAATTAATCAAAGTGCGTTACGAGAATATCTCATTGGTACAAGAAAAGACAGAAGCAATGGGCCTAACGATGCAACAAATAGCAGCAGATTTCCATGACGTTTTCACTGGAGAAGGAAAATTTGAGAAGAAACTTCACTTAGAGTTGGACACAACCATTGAACCAGTGAAACAGCCTGTTAGAAGGATTCCAGTGGCAATGAAACCCAAGTTAAAGCAAGAGCTCACTCGTCTCGAAGAACTTGGTGTTATCAAAGCAGTTGACACTCCAACAGATTGGGTCTCAAGCTTGGTACTTGTTAAGAAGCCCAACGGCAAGCTTCGCGTGTGTATCGACCCTCAGCCACTAAATAAAGCTTTGAAACGCAGCCACTACCCTCTTCCGGTTATCGACGATCTCCTGCCGGACTTGTCAAAAGCTAAAGTCTTCAGTGTGTGTGACGTTAAAAACGGGTTTTGGCATGTCGAGTTAGATGAAGATTCAAGCTATCTAACAACGTTTGGCACTCCATTTGGTCGGTACCGGTGGCTGAAGATGCCATTTGGCATATCACCCGCACCGGAATATTTCCAACATCGTTTGGATCAAGCCATCGAAGGCCTTCCCGGTGTGCGCACAGTTGCAGACGACATCCTCATCTCGGGTGAAGGTGACACTGTGCAAGAAGCAGTGAAAGATCACGACAAAAAACTGCTAACTCTACTTGAAAGGTGCCGCGAAAAGGGAGTGAAACTGAACAAGGAGAAGTTCAAGTTGAAGATGACAGAAATCCCCTACGTTGGTCATGTGTTAACAAGAGATGGACTAAAACCAGACCCATCCAAAATAGACGCCATCAAAGGCATGAGGCGACCAACAGATGTGAAAGGTGTACAGCGGCTTGTTGGTCTAGCGAATTACCTGACGAGATTCTTAAAAAAGCTGGCAGACATTTGCGAACCTCTTCGACAGCTAACGCGCAAGGATGCAGAATGGCACTGGAGCGACGTCCAGGAGAGCGCCTTTAAGAAGATCAAAGAAGCAGCTTCCCAAGCACCTGTCCTCCGATACTTTGATCCCGCCAAAGAGACTGTACTTCAATGCGACGCCTCGGACACTGGACTTGGAGCTACGCTTTTACAAAATGGTCAGCCAGTGGCATACGCATCGCGATCCCTGACGGATACAGAACGCAACTATGCGCAAATAGAGAAAGAACTGCTAGCCATAGTGTTTGGAGCCGAGAAGTTCAACCAATACACTTATGGTCGCAAAGTGATTGTTGAGAGCGACCATAAACCACTTGAAGTTATTTACCGCAAACCTCTCGTGGCCGCCCCCAAGCGTCTACAACGAATGCTACTTCGCCTGCAGAAGTATAACCTCGAAATTGGTTTCAAGCCAGGCCAGCACATGTATCTGGCAGACACACTCTCTAGAGCACCCCTTCCCAACACCACATCGCGCGATGAAGTGCTAACCATCGACAAAGAAGTTGAAGAAATACATATGGTCGAGTTTCTGCCACTCCGCAAAGCTAGCCTAGACGATATCCGTAAAGAAAGTCTGCGAGACAGCACGATGCATGCACTTCAGAAAGTCATTCGAGAAGGGTGGCCTGAGACCAAGATTGATCTCCCAAATGACGTCACGCCATACTTCAACGTTCGTGACGAGCTATCAGCGCAAGATGGAATTATCTTCAAAGGAGACAGATGTGTAGTTCCAAAATCCCTCAGACCAGAAGTCCTATCCAGAATCCACCGATCACATATTGGCGTGGAAGGATGCTTGAGACGCGCGAGAGAAAGCGTTTTCTGGCCAGGAATGAACACAGCTGTGAAGAACTTTGTCAGACAGTGTGAAACTTGTCGAACCTTTGAGATCTCCCAGCAGAAGGAAACACTCCACCCACATGAGGTACCTGACCGGCCATGGTCCAAGGTTGGTGTTGATCTGTTTGAGACAAACAACCGACATTACCTCGTGACCGTAGATTACTACAGCAACTACTGGGAAGTCGATAGGTTGGAGTCCAGTACAACATCTAAAGCTGTTATTTACAAATTGAAGCAACACTTTGCAAGGCATGGCATCCCGAACACTGTGTTTTCCGACAATGGCCCACAGTTTGATTCGGACGAATTCAGGAGATTTGCTCGAGATTGGGAATTCAATCATTTAACCTCAAGTCCCGGACATTCGCAGTCCAATGGTATGGCGGAAAGCGCAGTCAAGACTGTGAAAAGGCTTATTAAGAAGGCTAACAAAGATGGAACAGATCCTTGGCTCGCGATCCTCGACCACCGAAACACACCCTCAGAAGGCATGAAAAGCAGTCCAGCACAACGACTAATGAGTCGTCGAACAAGGACCCTACTCCCAACAAGCGAGAAGCTCCTTAAACCCAAACTCGCCGAAAATGTCCAAGAAGAAAAATGGAAGACAAGAACCAAGCAGGCATTTTACTACAATAGAAACGCTCGAGATTTGCCACCACTGAAAACTGGAGACTCAGTGCGCATTCAGCCCACAAGCAACCCCAAGGCGCCCTGGAAGAAAGCCACTGTTCAGGAACAGGTGAACATGCGATCCTACAAAGTCCTCACAGAAGATGGCTCTGCCCTTAGACGAAATAGAAGGCATCTGAAAGCAACTACAAAAGAGTCTCACACGCCAACAACCCAGATGCCCAAGCAGACAGAACTTCCCTCGCCATCTAAACACATTGAACAAGAAACTAACGCCAGTGGTCACTCCAGCTCAGAAGTAGCGAAGCCACAGGAGCCAGCGATCGAGCAGCCTGCGACTGATCTAACATCGCAAGCTTCCAAAGGCAACCAGACTCGCAGTGGTCGAATAACGAAGCCCCCGTCCTATCTGAAAGACTTTGTTCGTTAACCTGAGTCAGTGTCATGAGAGACAAAGACATTACCGGACTTGACTAGTTGATTCTTTTGGATAGTGGTTTTGATTTTTTTGTTTCTCATGTTTGTTTTGATTGTTCCGTTGTTTTCGTTTTGTTTCTTATGAAAGAAAGGATGTAACGAGAGCACACTCGGAGATCACGTGCACCTCAGGTGACACATGATACAGCGGTCGATGTTATCTAATCGCAAAAGGTTTTAGATCACATATATCTACATGAGAGCGCACTTAGTTTACAAATAAAGACTGTTCGTTACCTAGAAATCGTGTGTTTATGGTAGAACGAAACACAAATGGCAACAAGAAGTCCTATTTTCACTCATTCGCTATAAGATATATCCAAACTTGTTCTAAAAAGACTGGTTTACAAAACTTTCTGATTTGTACGTGGCATAAAAACAAATTCAGGATAAAAAACGTTCAGGTAAATCACTTACGTAAAAACCTACCTCTCGGCGTTGAGAACTCCGAACGTGACCACAGAGCTTGATCACGTGACCTCCACCGCCGTTTGCCGCTCGAGGTTTCCGCTGAAAACCCTGGTGCTTAATGTCACTATTGACACAGGATGTCTTGCACGAACAGCCTACGCCTTGCCTCAAACGTTGCTGAAAGTGGTTGAGTTCTGGTCGCAAGGGGCCGAGAGTATGCTTTGTGTTTTTGTTTTGTTTTGACCAAATCCATTCAGTCTACACTTCACATTCAAACGCCTAGGTTCACATGCAGCCAAGATCAAGCTGTCAAGTTCAGCATAACACACTTGATTCCCCCAGTGCCTTTCTCAACTATCCATTTGTTTTGTCTGTGTCCATGACGTCCTAACGCTGATTTTATCGTGTTTTAGCTTCCACAGTGCAGGCTCCATTCTCGTACCCATCAAGTATTAAACTCACCTTCGCCATCTTATACACTGCAATCATTTCAGTGGCCTTGGTTGGAAACATTTTGGTGATCTATATACTATACAAGAGGCCAGAAACCAGAAGATTAACAAGTTTCATGTACGTCAACCTCGCTGTGGCCGACCTGCTCGTAACAGTTGTTGTCATGCCTCAGTCGATGGAACTAATCATTTTGGACAATCTGTGGATCGATGGAACATTTGGTGAATTCTTTGCCAAGCTCATCATGTTTGTTTTTTACGTGGCGGTCACAGCGTCCGTCTTCTCTCTAACAGCCGTGGCTTTTGACTTCTTCTTCGGGATTGTCTTTCCCATGCAAAAGTTCCCTCGCTTTAGGAACAAAAAGATCTTGGTTCCCACAATTTGGATCATCTCAATGTGTCTAATGGCCCCATGGCTGGTCATAATCAAAGTTAAGAACTCCAGGATAGAATTTAAGTTTAGTCAGTTTGGCGAGACTCAAGCGGCCTTAAGAGGTGTGTTCCTTTACCTCGTAGTCACCATCTACTTACTGCCTGTAGTTACCATTTGTGTCCTCTATGGGTATGTTTGTTACACGCTACAGAAGCATAAACTACCGGGAGTTGAAATCAAAAATCGCGCAAGAAATCGCACCAACGCTACCAAGCGCAAGGCGATAAACATGTCAATCGCTGTCGTTGTTGCTTTTGCTCTTTGCTGGCTTCCAGCGCACGCGCATCATATGATTCTGGCCATAGACTTCAAACTGAGTCTATCCCTGCCATATTATTTCATGCTGTTATGCTATTGGCTTGGACATGCAAACAGCGTTGTCAACCCCTGGCTCCTGATATACTTTAGGAAGAAATTTAGAGCCGAGTTTCGGAGAATGATATCTTACCCATTAATGAGAATCTCATTCTTGAGTAAAACAAATGGGAGCGTAGGGAGTGAGGCCAAACAGCCAATACTGGATCAAACTGTCCAGTCTACTGTTGTATACCAGTTTACAAGTGCTGTGTAGAGATAATTTTGCAGTAAACAGTATTCATTCTAATTATTGCATAAACACAGTTAAAAGGAATCTTAACTTATTATTTTGTTTAGCATCATTTATCACAATGGCTTTTACCATGATTGTTGTCATTATACCTATGATAACGTACTTTAAGACATCCGTCAGCTAGAAACCCAACCAAACCACGAACCTGTAGCACTGAAGGATTATTGTTGCAACTATTACCATTAGTTGTTATTGCAGCATTGAGATTTTAATTTTTTTCATCATCATTATCCTTACTAACATTATGATTTATTTATTTCAAAAGTAGATGTGTTTTGCTAAATTCCAAATGCAACGAAGTAGTTCCTTTTTTTTGGGGCAGCTTTTGGAAGACGAAATCTGAAAAATACCACTCCCTTCTGAGTCCACGTCCTTCCAAGTATCAACAATTGTATATAATGTTCTTACTACAGCTGAAGTCCATGAAATAATACACGAACAAAATGACCACTAGTGGCATTGCGATAGTAGTGTTCACCAGTACAATTGTACAAAGACTGTCGAGGAAAAAGCGTAAGAAGAAAAAGCGTAGCAGGAAAGGTCGTTGTTCAAAATCTATCACCAAATTTGTTCCGTGAATTTGTTTAGATACAAGGTGAAAAAGATCGACAAAAAGTGACAACATTACGGTACCTTCCAAACCACTTTCAAAAACTAGAATACCAGAGACAAACAAGTTGCAGATATTAAAAACCTTCAAGTTCGTTTCAGATTATAGAAATAGTGCAAGTTACGGATGCAATTCCCGAAAGAAAAAAAGGTTTCTTTCCAATACATTTTCAGTAACTGGAGTAAGAACAACTAAATCTAAATTGATCTCATTCTGCCATGTCTCCAAAGTAACCATATATGACCTTACCAATTTAATAATACTTGTTGTGGTTGCTTTCACCAAATATAATAATTCGTGTACTCTTCCCTGGTTGAATAAGATTAATAAATAAGGAAACCCAAGGAGGAAATAGCAGCCATTTATTTTCGTTCAGTTTCTGTTTCGCTTGAGTCATGTTGCTTTTGCCTTAAAACCATCGCTTTCTTGAAAATCCTCACAATTTAAAAGGTGAAGAGAGAGTGAAAGTTCCCTTGATTGGCTGCAAGTCACCAAGCGCTGTCTACCACTCTTTCTCCGGGAGGCGTTGTGTGACAACCAAAATCAAGGATATGGAAGAGTAATAACTGTCTTGAATAAGTTCTCGCCACGCAACGTTACGTACCGCTTATCCCATGGGAGAAATATGGAAAGATAGGAAGCATAGCACAGAAACGCCAGTAATGTTGGGGTACTCTTTCATGTCCTTATCGAGACGAATGGGATTTACTCGCTTGTTTTCGGTTATCCTTTGATAACAGCGATTGGTCTCAGTTTAATGGCCTTCTGACTAATTCCCGCATCATGGCCTAAATTAGGGTATAAAGATAAAACATCGCCAAAAAAACAAATAACCAAACAATCAGACAAACAAAAACTACAAAACAAAAACAAAAAATACAAAACAACAACAAAAACGATACAAAATTAACAAAAAGTTAATTAAAAGACGAATTTAAAAAGTGCTGTTGTGATGAGACACGCATCTTTTCAAGCTTAGTACATTGACAGAGATGGGTGTTTACACAATCCTGATGTCAACCTGGATCGAGTAAACGACATCATCAGTTTCGTGATCAGAATATTTCGTGATTTTTTTCAAATTTAACTTTCTCCGGAACTAATGCAAACATTTCACAGGGGAATTCTCTATTCTCAAGTTCAAAGAGGTGAAAACTTGATCACGGAGGCACTTCAGTGTTTGATGTTGAAGATAGGTGAACTGATTGCAGAGAGGAAAAACGTGATTTGCTTTGAGGGAAAAAGAAACTGACTCTAACGACTCTTAGTTATCACAGCCAAATAGGACACCTTGAATGCAGAAGAACGAGTTCGTGTCTAAGGTAGGGAATCCTGAATCGTCAACGAGCTGTCGTCTTTAGGTTAGAATCTAATTGTCTCGGGACTTCTTGGAGTTAAAATGTATCTTGAGGGATTGTTTTCTTTTTAAACCGTTGACAACACAACACAATTCTGCAACAGTGGCTCAAAAAGCAAGTAACATCGAACAACAAGAGACGCTTATACTTACAAGTGTTAACGACATCAGTGACGTTTTTATAAGACTCAGGAGCCTGTTAAAAAGGTGAACAAAAATGCACGCAATTAACGCACATTTTCTTTTTTTTAAGATTTCAACAGCTTTTGATGCAATGCCATGGAAGCTACAGCATGAAAATGAATTTAAAAAAAAGGCGGCCATTTACTGATTCGTTACCTCTTCCATAACCAGTTTTGGGGAAGCCACTCTTATTGAGATTCCTTTGGATTTAAGACTATCGAGAACTTCTTGATAGTCAATATTTCGGCTGAAAGAGAATGGAAAGGACAATTAAAACTGTATGAATGGAACTATGTTTATGACTAGGTCAAGATGGACCAGCTGATGACTT